ATTAATGATCCTTATGGCAGTTGTTATATTAACCTTATCACGTAGTGCAGCAATAAAGGGAAACTATTGTAAAGGAAGGAAAAAAAAAACATTTCCTTTAATCTCTGGGACCTTTTCTTCAACCTAGCAATTTTCTGATTGTCAGGGGAGGGAAAAGTGAAAGTTAGATTTTTTTACCGAGTTTTCTTAAAATCTCAAATAAGAAACTGGACATTTTCTAATGGGTGATTCATTAATCATCATATCACGTAAAGAGGACACAGATTAGATTATTGACTAAATGGGCTAAAAGCTCATTATGTGAGTTCTGGGTTTCATGGGGTCCGCTAAAGTGCTCTGACCAGGAGACAGGAAGTGGCTCCTGAGAAAGCCAGTCTCTCCTTGAGGGCTCTGAACTGTTTATGGCTATGGCATTACAAAACAATCCAGTTTGCCCCTCATAAGACTTCTATTACCTTCTTCGTACAGTCCCTGTGTGCACATAGAGGAAATTCAAAGGCTCTGTCTTTTAATCCCTTTTTAACTTTGACAACAATACCAAACCTGACCCCGAGACCCTTCTACCTTCTCTTCTCTCAAGGTGCTTGAGAAATCACCTAACTTTATGATTGAAATTAATGTTTTCATTCAACTGCAAATATTTGAGCTCAACCTTCATGCTAGCAGAATGAACACAGGGCCCTACCGCTCCCTCGGCCAGGTAATATGCTTTTTTCCTCCTTTTTTTTTTTTTCATTATCCCTTTAATGCAGAACAGGGCTACTGATTACAAAGAGGCAGTTTGACTCCAGCAATAGGTCTTCTTCACTAATCCTCACTGTCATGGAAATTCCAGCTGCTACAAGAATAAGAGGCTCAATCCATATTTGCCAGCTCTAATATGAAATCTGTCAGAGCCCAAATTAATGAGTTCCAAATTCCTTACATCACGATAACAGGTTAAGACTGGTCAATTAATTACATAAATCCTTCCCGATTCATTGTGCGTTTGCAGCCCAGATTGTGTCTTACATTACTCCATGACACAAGGCCTTTTGGCTCCTGTTGTTCCGCAGAAAGGCCCCATTTAAGTGGAGGCTGCCTGCCACGGCAAAATGTTAAATGTCACACGTTAAATTTGCACTTTTCTATAATTGCTTTTGTTAAAAAAAAAAAATTAAATGAAGGCACAGGGCTCCCGGTACACCACTATGCAAGAGGGCTGGGAGTGTACTGCATGGATCCCAGGCCAGGCAAGGGTCTGTGTTTTACTTCTGAACAGTTCACACAGATGCCCCGGGACTGAGTGCTCTGTAGGGAGCAGAACCCAGAATGTGCATATTTGTGAAAAATAGACCGTTTCCCTGAGAGCTAAGATTCTTGTCTCCGTGAAACATTAAAACAAGATTCTTTACATAGCCAACTTCCTTTGTCTACCAGTGAAAGTATTAGATATATTAAACCCAGTTGATTTAATCACCTTTCAGGAAATATACTATACAAGTGGGTATATATTATACTTGCATAGGTCTTTGCTTTCAAAAAGATGTTCCTGATAGTTTTGCTATTTGGATTTAGGTACACACCTGCAGAGATAGAATAATTGAAGTGTCAGAGGACTTCAAAAGCATCCGGGCCAAGCCTTTTCCTTTTAAAAACATCAAAATATGCTTGGAATCACAGCTGGTTAGAACTCGACCTGGAACTGCAACCTCCAGATTCCTAGTGCAGACCCTTTTCACCCCACTACATCTCTTGGTGGACCTTTAGGCACGCAGGTGCTCTGTACCAAAGGGAAACAGTTCCAGCTGTGTTTCCTGAATCATCTTCTTGCGGGATAGGGTTTCTACGAATACACGAGTGAGTAAATGATGCTCCTAAGCACAGACCGAAACCCATGTGGGGAGCAGGTTCTTTCTGCTTGGGAGCCTAGCACCACTCCACCGCGTAGGCAGCCAGCCAGACCCCAGGTGGCCAGTCTCCAGAGGGGGATGCAGCCGCTGCGCTGGCCCTCCAGCGCCCCCTTCTGTCCTCCGGCGGCCTTGCACCCTATATCACCGGCCACGCGCCCCTTCTTTTTTTCTGGGGCAAAGAACACAGCTCCGTTTCTGGGCCCCAAGGCTAACAGGGTGGGGAACTTGTACCTCCCGCCTGTACCCACCAATACACGCACACACACACACACACGTACCACCCTGACCCAGGGCTGTTTCTGGGCCCGGAGGCACGCGCTTCTTCCCTAACGGCCCAGTCCCGCCACCAGGCGCAACTGTCGCCCCCGCTCTGGACGGGAGGGCAGGTTAAGGCGACGGCGCGCCCGCGGGGCAGGTTTTAGAGTCCTGGGTGGACTAGAGGGGAACGGGGTTAACTCATGTGTGCGATTCGCGTGCATTTGGAAACACTTCGGATGCGGGAGGCTTTGCCGCAGCCCCACCGCGGCCGCGGGTGCTCGCGGGACCCTCCAGGGCTCGGCCACACCCAGGCCGGGGCGGCGCGTCGTCGCCCTCTGCGGCCCGGCGGCGGGGCTGGGGCCGCAGCGCCGCGCGAGCATCTGCAGAACAAAGGCTGCAGTCCAGGCCCGGGCTGGGGGACGCCGCCCCCGCCGGCTCCAGCGCAGCCGACCCGCACCCAGCCGTCGGGCAGCGGGGCCCGCTCCACGCACTTCCAACCCGGAGGGCCCCTGCCAGCCTGGGAACCGGGAGGCCCGGAGGGTCATCAGTATTCAAAGCCGCCTCCCACACCAAACCCACTCCCCCGAAGCCCTTCGCCATTAGTATTTTATCGTTATTACTACGGCCAGAGTTGCCATCCTAACGCTGTTAGGGGCCCCGCGGTGCCCACGTCTGGAGCAGGTGGGGCAGGGAGCTGCGGGCCCGGGCTGTAAATCGCTGTCTTTTTGTGGTTGTTGTTCCCACTCACCACCCGCCGCCCCCCTCCACCCGGTTTTTTTTTTTCCTTTCCACAGTGCAGTTGCTATGGGTTACCAGGGCGGTTGCCATGGGTTACCGGACCGAGGCCGGCTGGCTGGCTGGCTACCTGCCGCCCAGTCACCGCCGCCGGCGGAGCGGCCCGGGCGGGAGGAGGCGGGAGCGCGCGTGTGCGGGACGCGGCGCGGGGGAGTGTGCGCGAGCCGCGAGGCACCGCAGCCAACAGGCGGCCGAGCGTGCAGCCGCGGGAGCGCCACCGCCAGTGGGGTGGGGGGCAGAGCTATAAAGAAGGCCCAGAGGTAAGAAACTAGCAAAAACACAACCACAAATTATGCCCGTGCTGTGCCTCTAGCAGCAAAGACAAGCGGTGTGGGGTTTTGGAGGAAGCTACACTTCTCGCCGGGGGAGAAAGGGTATTTTCCTCTTTAGCATAAGTCATTTGCATAGTGTCTTTAGAGCAGAGTTTAAATTCAGCAGAAAATTGCAGCTTATATATATATATATATATATATTTTTTTTTTTTTTTTTTCTCTTTTCCTCTCTATCTGTTGAAAAGAAGTTTTTGGAATTTTGGAGAAAGAGAAAGGGTCATTAACTACAAGAGTTTGTGCAGCTAAAATAAATTAGTGTCCAATGCACTGTTCATAACAGTGATCTAGAAAAGTTTCCAGTAAGAGTGAAGAGCAATTGTGTCTGACTTAAGGGAACAATGGTGACTCGTTTGTAAGATGCATATGGGAAAGAATAGAACCAAAGTCCGCTGTAAATATATCCAATGTAAAGAAATTGTTGCTTATTTACATCCTTCTAAAATTTTTTAATTCCACTCTATTAAAATGTATTTTCTTATGACCTTTATTTGCAAAGAAAACTGTATCTATGCTTTGAATATCAAATTGCAATAACTAATTTCAGACAGCATTTTGTATTTGAAAATGTGTTTATATATAATAAACTAAGAAAAAGGTCTGTATTCCAAACAAAAACACAAAATTGTATTGAAATAAATTGTTTTCTTCGTTGAAAAGATGCATTGTATTCATAGGATACCAACTAAGTAATTTAAATGTTAAGAGAAAGATTATTGAGAAACAATAAAGTTTTGTTACATTTGTCTTTAAATTTTACAGGCCTCCTATGAAAAGGGGTCTTTCTTTACAGCTCAAATACTGAAAACCTTTTTTGTACCACAGTAGCTCAATAATGATGAATCCTTAAGGCACCAAAAAAACAAACGAGTTCAAAACAACATCCAATTTACTATTGGATATAACGGTAATCGTGGCTAGGTTAAATGAATTTGTTTAAATTCTTAATAGTCATAAAAGAAATTTTGTTCTTTTACTTTGTCACTTGTTTGTATTTAATTTTTCAATAAAATGTGAACTAGACTTGAAAAGCTCTGGCAAGATATTTAATATCTTAAGGAACAATAACTGCTTAAAGATAAACATTTGTGTTTTTCCCTAGTAATTTTTAAAACTTGAAATTTTAACAACAAATAAATCACTTTCTTCTAAGCGGGACTTTGAAAGAGGCCTTAAGTAACAGGTTGTCAACTTTCATTTTTGACACCTTTGAGTTATATATAAATCCAGTTATAAAATAAAACACATAAGCTGGCTTTACAAGCAAATAGTTTACCCTTTCAGAATTAGTGAGGGAATAGTTTTGCTGTATGTAAATCATAAAGCATCCAGGATTAGAATTCTTTAAATTGAAGTCACATTAAAAATAGTGCTAAATAAACCTCTATTCTATTTAGCTACATAAGTAATTACTTTCTTTTCCTGGAAGAAGTTTTATAAAAATATGCCAGAGGAAAATAAGAGACAAAGCAAGAAAACCACTGGGAGCTGAAGTTCATCTAAATATATCAGCTGCAAGAAATCTGTTTTAAGATGCCAGTGCTTAGATAGCAAAGCCAAACCACAGCTAAAAGCCTCAAATATGTACAGCTATAGTGAATATTAAACCAAGTTTTACCAAAGTTCTTCATAAAAAATTCCCGATAATTCAAAAACACATTGAGTTTTGGTCTGAGTCAGAAGAAATATATTCTCTTGTATAAAATAAGTGATCCAGCAAAGTTGATTTTTTTTTTCATGTTTATTGTGAAAATGATGATTTCATGACATTTACATACCAAATATTGAGGCAGTACTTATTATTGATGGTTATCTTATATCATCTAAAAATAACATGACAATTGGTGGCACAGTATATGCTTTTCAAAACTGCTGTAAAACAGAAATATTGTGAATTCAAATACACATTGCTGAGGGAATGGGGATAGCTCTTAAATGCCCAGATGGCAAACTTTTCATGTTAGAAAGATAAGAGATTGCTAAATCTTTTCTTTTCCTGTGTTAGCATAATGAAGATCCAAGATACATTAAATCGAAATGTTTACAAAAATTTAATAATGTTTTAAACCAAACCATAAAAAGGATAATCATTCTTACTCTAAATTGAATTTTTTCTGTTGATTTGCAGTTTTCTGTTTTGTTTTATTTTTTTCTGAAACAAGCATTATAAAGACTTTTTAAAAATACAATAATAATTAAAATGAAATGGTTACTTTTTATACTAGCCTTTGTTACTCTCCAATTAGGCTGAGTAACATTTAATTAAAGCAACAAGTTATCCAGTTATGTGAAAATATCTTTCTGTTAGTTTCACAGAGATATTTTTGTTCCATTCAACAAAGAAACTTGGGTAATTATCTCAGGAAAATGCTGCCTCATCTGAAATTTGAAGTTCAAAGTAGTTTATCTAAGACATATGATGTTTGGGCCACTAAAAACAAACAAAAAAGACATTTCATTAAAATTATACCAATCTTCATGTACATGTTTAAAAGTAAAGGGCTTTGTAAAAATGAATAATTAATTCTGAAATTAGCAGGTTGACATCTTCTTCTAAATTTTGGAAATATTTATTGGTAAAATTAAATTTATTAATTTTTATAAGATCCTTCTTTTGACTTAAGCAATAAGTAGCCACCACTGATGCTGAATGTTATCTAGAGATAAGAAATTGCACATTTTGTCAGAAAATAAATCATTAACCTATAATTCTGATCACACAAGGATAATGAAAACAAATGATTTATTTCCAGAAACCATTTGTTTAAGCTGATTTTGGACAGTGAAAATGTATTTCTGAATCTACATATTGAAATTAGAAGTAAAATTACTAGCACTATTTCTGTTTTTTCTAAGATGTAAACATTATTTTAATACATCTTTATTCATAAGATACATTTTCCATCTAAGTGTGAAATAGAATACTGTCAAGATTAAATATTCTTAAAATATATCAGTCAAACACCCAAAAGCAAAGTGTTTTGCCAGTGCACAGAAGAGATCCACAAAATATCAGCCACATGTCTGAGAGAAGCAGTCTGGTCTATGCTGTTTACTCTTCAAAGTGGTTAATATATATGCTGTGTTTACGGTAACACTGCCCCATTGATACAAGAAAGAATGCTCTATCTTGATTTTAAATGCTACCTATTTACCTATCTTTTAAAATTCAATAAAACCAACTAGGTTTTTGTTTTTTTTTTTTTAACATATAAATCATTTCATTTGAGGGCAGGATCTCGTTTACCAATAATGTTGAGCTATAAGGATACTATTGCATTCACAGGACTTTAGCTTGATACAGAAGCTTGGCTAAAATAAGACAACATAAAAATACCACTAATAAATAACTCCATGTCTTTAAGAATTTTAAATACCTAACATCATGACTGAGCTTTAGGTAAGAATATATTATTTATTACCAAGCTTTTCTTCCCGATGACTGGACATAATTTGCTGTTCCTAAGATAGTAACATTAGAATTATTTTTCAGGATTCCTGCAGAGCTGTACTTATTTTACATCCATGTGAACTGCTGTCATCACTACTGTGTCCAAGCCCAGAGGATGAACTGGAAAAGAAGAGAGGGGGAAAATAATAAAAAGAGGAAATTGGTTTTCACAACACACTCAAAGCCTGAGTAACAGAGGAGAACTTTAATTATCTCCAGTCACAAAGAGAGACAGGAAATTTGGACTTTTAATTAGCCATTTGGAGTGCAGTTGGATATTTTTTTAGCTAGATAATTTAAACGCGAATAATTCAAGTCTGACTAAATGAAAGTCACATAATCAGAATGCAGATAATTGAATTTCTACTGCATTCATTAATTCGGTGTGGAGGTGTGTGTGAAGACTACTATGATGAGCTGTCACAGCTCAATAAAATCTCAGTCAATTAATTTTTTCATTATCTTAGTATTACATCAACAAAAAAGTGAAGTATGTGTGTATTTCTATACACATGCATATGTGCGCTATGTGTTATATAAATACATACACATTAAATCAAAACGCAAGGAAATACCTTTCTGAATCATAATCTATATCATTTTCTTTTTTTCCTTCTTCATCTTCTTCAGGGAAACGTCTGTTCATCAAGGCAAACTTGTGAATTGCTTCTTCCACAGAGTACTTAGTCTGCCCAGAAACACACGCCTCAATGTCTTCTGAATTCAGTTGGCTCTGCAAGAAGAGGTGAAGGCTGCTATCTGAAAGCAAAAGTGCATTCTGCAGGACTCTATGTAAAAGAAAAAAAGGAAAAATAATCGGTGAACAGGAATGGTCAGTTATAGGGTAGGAGAAAGAAAAACATTAGAAATGTACCACTGAAGTAATTTCTCTACTGTGGTAAACTTTGCATCAATTATGGGCTCTGCCTATTAAAGGGATGAAAGCATATGTTAACTTTTATTCAATTATTTGGAAATTTAGGTGAGTAAAAACATGAAGCTAATAGTTAAGAACATCTGTTAAAAGAATAACTTCAAGGACATTTCTTCAATTTAACCATCTGTTATGACCATGTGGATTAATTATGGAAATATTTTGCTTATATAGTCATAGAAATTTATTCTACTTAAAAAAAATTTATTGCCAACAGCATGTCAATTCAGTGATCTTTATTGGATAGGCTGTCGTGAAACATCAAAACTTTCAACTACTATTAAAAATTATATGAAAAAGTCAATACATTTCTCAGCATGCTTTACATTTTAAAACTTTACAAGTAGGTTTATGTACATAAGTACATGTTTACAAGGGCTCATGTAAGAGGTAGTTTTGTTTTTTTTTTAATACCTAAAGTTGACTACAAATTTCTCCAAAACTTCAGGGCACTGCATCTCTATATTGTCAAAATGAATAACCTAATAAAATTGATTTCAGCCAATTTTATATAGTTAAAATATGACAATTTTGTGATGAGTATGTACTAGTCTTCTCACACTCCAGATCAAAGTTTACAAAGATAGTACAAATTTCAATTAGTGCATTAGAACTACACAGAAGAGTAAAAATTATCCTTTAGCAAAATCTATACATGTACAAATTCATACCATCAGTGAATGTGTTTTTTTCTGAAATACATGTCTTAGAATATGAAATCAAGTCAAAGTATACCTTTATATTTAAATGAAAACTGGTTTTACCTTTTTAGCAAAGATTTTGGCATTATGATAATTTAGTATCTATTAATAATTCAATAATGATAGAACAGGAGATACTAAGACCAGATATAGGGAACAAAACTAGAACACTAAAATCCAAGTATAATTTTGTCCAACATGGGATTTTTCATATAGAGATCTATGAAAAATAGATCATGTGTTTCAGACCAAATGAACCTTACCTTATATCCTGCATGTTTAAACAAGTAATTAGGAAAGTAAATCTCTTTGGCCATTAATATCAATTTAGTTAAAATCCAAGGTCATTAGAATACCAACCAAGTCCTTTTCTTCATAATAAAACCGAATTATTTCTGGAAGAAGGCAAATGTCTAAAAGTGCACAATATCAAAACCAAAACCTAGCCATCCCCTTTGCTTCAACAGGCTTACAAACATAGCTTGAGAAAATATTCTTTACTGGTCTACTAAAAGGAAAAGTAAAACCTTTGTGCTTTTTAAAAGGCAAAATCTCAAGCAAAGCAGCCAAATACTTCCTTTCCCTCTGTGTCCTGTGCCCTGGGTTCTCCCAGAAGCAGACCATGTCACATGATAAAAGATTAATTTACCAAGTACAAGTAGCTAAGTAGTAAATTCCTTTTATTACTCTTCAAGATTTATTTTCTACATTTACAAATGTTTACCATTCTTGTTTTAAACACATCAAATTAAGAGAAGAGTTATATAGCAACAACCCATTAATATTAACTCGGATTCGCTGTGAAGTTTGAGCAAAGTGTTTCCTGTGGCCTTCTGTCAGTGGTTTCCTGCCAGCCATAATACAAGTAACTGTTCATAGGATTATACTCACTGCTTTGTTTCTCTTGGGATTGTGTTTTATTTTCTTTATAAAATAATGGGTAATCTTTAAAATTGATTTTAGATGGTTTGAGGCATTACACCACAAAAGTAATGAGCACTAATGCCAATGATATTGGACACAAATTCATTTTAGCTTTATTTCATGTCTGAAGCAATTTTACTGAGCCTTGAACCACTCACGCGCTGTTATTAACTTGCTAGTAACCTAACACATGGGTACAGCAAACAAAAGTGATCAGAGTCCAGGTTGATCGGGACCTCAAGGCTACTGTCCTTTTTCTTGCGCTATAATTCAATTTCCAATTTTACTGTACATTAGACTCATTATTTCCCAGTGTTTTCTTTTCTGCTTAATACTGCCATCTGGAGGACACACAGGTGAAAAAAGGAGCCTGGCCCACCCCGCTCACAATTCTGAAGATGTGGCTGGAGAAGGAACATGAGAACACTCACATAGGGCCAGTGTTCAAACACAGCAGGTCTGCTAGGCACCGTTTTGGCTTTTGGAATCTCCTCTCTCACTCACTGGCTAAATGTATGCCACCATACTCTATGGGTATGAGTTTTAAATAAGCAAAGGTAACTTTTTAATTTATGCTTTTTATTTTACAATCAGGTATTTCATTCTGAAATTTAAAATTCGGTCAGGTTTCCACCTGTAATCCTAGCACTCTGGGAGGCCAAGGTGGGAGGATCCCTGGAGGCCAGGAGTTCAAGACCAGCCTGGGCAACACAGCAAGACCTCATCTCTACAAAAAATTTTAAAATATCAGCCAGACATGGTGGCATGCACCTATTGTCCTAGCTGCTCGGGAGGCTAAGGCAGGAGGATCACCTGAGCCCAGGAAATTGAGGCTGCAGTGAGCTAAGATTGTGCCACTGTCCTCCAGCCTGGGCAACAGAGCAAAACCCTGTCTCTAAAAAAAAAAAGAAGAATTAAAAAATTAAAATGCAAAATTTCGACTGTTTTCCCATCTCATTCAGTAAGCATAATTAGTTCATTCTGAATACTATTTGGTTTACTGTCTATCAGAGAGGGTTGTGATTACCACTATTATAATATTAAATCCTATTTTTTCCTTAGTCATATTTGTGCCACCTGTTCCACAAACAAATCGAATAGCAGAAAATCAACTTCAAACTTAATATAAAGAGTACTTTGTAAAACAGTCAATAAAATGTCATTTTAGAAGCCTTCATAAAAATAAAATGTATATGATTTTCAAGGCTTTGTAAAAGGAACAAAAAATAGTCTCTAGGATTTTAAAGGAATTTCTAAAATGATATTTACAACATGACTCAAAAGTTATTTCCTTCCCCATAACAACTTTAAACAAAGTAAAACCTGTTTTTTCCTTGAATTGAACACAGTTGAAAATCTGATTTTCCTCAACATGATTTTATTAGGTATATTGTATCTTGGTTTAGCTGAGAACAATATATAGCTACACAAGATCATTTATTCCTGGCCAAAGATGTCCTGGGTCTCCTGAGCCCAATATGATGATGTACATACACATCTGTATAGTATGTGGAAGATTAGCGGTTTGATGTAGAAAAAAATTAATTCAGCCTGTGTAGCTGAGTTAATTTAAAAATAAATAGCTGAAAAAAATAAAACCTACAAATCTTCATTGAAGACATTCATGATCTGTGCTGTGGTGCCCTCTATTGAACACAAAGACTTATAAAAGGGGTGTGTGTGTGTGTGTGTGTGTGTGTGTGTGTGTGTGTGTGTGTGTGTCAAACTAGCTGCAGTGTTTTAATGGTAGCCTTTTGTAAAAAACTCTTATATTCTTTAAATTTTTAAGAAATATAAAACCATTAGACAAAAGTCTAAATTGTAGGGTAAATGTGGTTATATTAATGGTATGAATTCAGTGAAGGAGGAAAGCTGGCTCCGATTCATGAATAAACCTATTCTAACCTAAATTGAAAAGCCCATTCAAATCTAAAATCCCACTCAAACCTAAACAATTAGTAGGAATTCCGTTAATCATAGTTGGAGACTTACCAACAGCATTTATAATTTTAGTCTATAATCTCCTTTTTCCATACCTATCAGGAGTGGCTTTCAATTTATGATTAATCAGGGGAAAGAATACAAAAGGTAGATTATAGTTGGGATGGAAGAAAAATGAATATATTTGAAAAATCTCACAATCATACTGACCCAATTTAGCTAGTATTTAATAATTCTGCTAATTTTAAATTTGCCAGTTCCTAGGATGAATATAGTGCCTCCACCTTTCGTATAATTTCCTTCTTTGTAAAATTGAGATAATACCCAATTCCTATGATTTTGTGAGTATTGAGATAAAACATGTAAAATACCAAACATGTAGCAAATGTTCAATAAATGGTAGAAATTATTCTTATTTGGCTCCTAGTGAAAGAATTTTCTAATTCCTCTACAAATGATCTTAAAATGAAAAAAATACATTTTATACACACACACACACACACACACACACACACACACAAAGAGACATTTTGGTTTCAAAAGATTTGAACGTATTTAGTGCTTCTGAATCACAACTTCAAAACTTACATAAAAAACAGATTTTAAATATATGTTAAAAGTCTACAATACTGGCATAGTTCAAATTTTAATGCTGTGGTTCCTAAAGTTCCTCTATAAACAAGGTACAGGCTGCTGATGGGTGGCCGCACTTAATGCGTAACCAATGGAGCCTCAGAGAGCATCAAGCTGGGGTCAGGATACAGTGCACATCACGTCCAGTTTCCCAAAGCGGGCCTGGGCTCAGTAGGGGAGGAGGGTCACACAGGCAAAGACATGGAAGGTTGCTACTGCCATGCAAACTGGACGAAGAACAGGAGAGCCATGCATCAGAATTTGAAGGACACAGAGAAGAGGGTGAGGGATCAGGAGAGGCCACAGAGGATCAAGAACCATGACTCATGGGAGACCAGGAACCCCCAGCTCCTCAAACTCCCGAACCAGGACACTTTCCACTACAACATGTGCATCAAATATAACCAGCAAACAGTGAAACGATACAATGTGCAAAAATAATGCAGATCAAGCATACCCCCACGATGGCTGAATGACACTCACTGAGTCATTAATTTTGATAGATCAACTGTGGATGGAAATGTTATGTTCAAAACAATGAAGGGATCCCTGGTCAAAAACACACGCCCTGTGCTTAACTAGTGACATAAATTCAGCGATCCATGCTGTCTTTTCACCTCAAATAAGGAGACTTCTCTACAGAAGACAAGCTGCTCCCAGTGCTGGCAGGGACTGTGGGACTCAGCCACCCCTGCCCAGGCCTCATTGGTGACAGCCAGGCTGCAGCTCCCCAGGGCAGCATCTAGAGCGACAGGCCACTCTGCAAACTTGGGCTGCAGGGACCACATCTGAAGGGAGAGGCCATCAGCCACCTGGGCCTTGTAGAGACAACAATTAAAATCAGAGCTGTCTTCAGAGGGAAAGTGCAGGAAAAACTCGACCAGGTCTTTGTTCTGTCATGCCTGTGATATCCCCAAAAATTCCACTGTTTTTGGAGGACTTGGCTCTGCTAATCAGTTCTTCTGGTCTCTTCTCATTTTTATTCCTCTGGCTTCTCTTCCTTTCCCCACTCTCCCTCAATTTATAATCTTGGATCTTTCTAGATGTCTCTACCAGCCTTCAAAGGAAAGGCACTATGTCAATGTAATAGAAATAAATATTAATATTCATGTGTATACTTAATACCCAAACCCTTTATGTCTGAGCCAAATGAGGAGAACGCAGGTTATTCTTTCAGGCTTGCTCTAGGGTCCTATTTAGTGAACTCAAAAGGAGATGACTTCGGATCCCGAAAGTACTAAAATAAGAATGAGAGATCAGGAGACTGGGCCCTGCTGCTACCTCGTAGTCACATGACTCAGCCTATTTTCTTATCTATAAAGAATAAGAAATTAGAAAAATAAGCTCAAAGCTACTTCATGTCTAACTGCATTAAAACAATAACCAACATTTACACAGGACACATTATATGCAAGACAGTACTGTGAACGCTTTACATTCATTAACTATGATGTACGTACTGTTATTATCCCATTTTATAGATGGGAAAACACAGACACAGCAGAGCCAGGATCTGAACCCAGGCAGCCTGGCCTCAGAGTCTGCATGCAAATCAGTGCACTACACTGCTTCCCACGGAACAGGTATTCTAGCATTCCAAAGGAAATCATAGTAATGTGAATTCAAGTAGCTTTAACTGCAGTACCCACCATGACAGAGTAATTCAGCGTTAATAACCCACTGAGACTATTCAGACACCACCAAATACTCCTCTATAAACATTTCCTCTTAAGATTAGAGTTAAGCCATTCATTTAAAGGAGCCCAAAAGGGTATTAGCAGCCCATCGTGAAGCTTATTTTGGTCTGTCAATCCTAAATGTTGTAAATGAAGACCGTTTTTAAGAAGTGCCTTTTTATAATTAGGCACATGTTTCCTGGAAATTTTTATTTTTGTCAGCTACATTCCCAAGTAATTTGGATCTGCTTTACAGCTTAAGGAACCATATATTATCTGACTCAATTATTATAGTTCATTGTTTTCTTGCTAGACTTGGTCCCAAATATGTAGCATATGATGCGAGCCACAAGATGGCGCTCTAATATAGCAAATGGACTACCGAGCTTGGCCCTAGAGCGGATTAAACACCATTTCAGAAACAATACTCTCCCCTATGTGATTACCCAGCTCTTGCAAAGCATTTTGCTCTCATCTCTTGTCCAGCCACGGGAGTTTCCGTACACTTACTTTCTGAGGAAATCTTCCAAACCCTGCCGACGCTGATCCACATGCTGGCGATTGTTCATGTTGAAAAATAGGTTTTTAGATGGAAGTTCTGGCAGTTGTCTTATGAGAAAGAAAAAAACATTTTTAAATGATCAAATCAAGGTGGTTTCATTACAGAAATCCCTCAAAGTGATGGCAAATTATGCATGATGATGATCTTGTAGCTATTATATAGGTATTATTCTACATTTTATAGCTACATAAGGATATGAGGAAATCAGTTAAAGAAAAACCCATCTTTAAACATTTCTGAGGTCTTTCATGGTCATTACCTATAAAATCCTGGTGAAATCCAAGTGATAAATTTTAAATTCAGCTACAACTAACCGAAGCTATATATACTGCAGTCAAAAAGAAAGCCTATAATATCCTTCATATCTTATATATCTTAATGCCTATCAATTTTTAAATATTGAACATAATAATAAAGTCTGCTCAATATACTCTTTAAAATTACTTACACCAGCAATGCATTACTTTGGAGTCTCTGCCTCAGCCACACAAATTCTCTGTATCTTCTTCGTACACAGGATGTTTTCATTGTAAAACACATGCTATTAGTCTGCACAGAAAAATAAAAACATACGAGCCTCGCGTAAGGAAAAAATGCTTTTATTATATCTGTAACTCCCAATATGATCCCAATATCCATTCTAAATAGGATTTAAACCACCAAAATATATTTACATTTATGCAAGTACTCTGAAATCCTGCACGTAACCCACCAACATAACAGCCCCGAAGACAGCCAGGATGACATGAATGAGCCGTGTTGTCCCAGGGCAAGGTGTGACCTGGCCACTTTTTGTGTCCTGAAGGAGCCTCCTGCTCACCTGACTATAAGCACCACTTTCAAGGATGAATCACAAAAATAAACAAATCCTAGGGTATAAATGATCAGTAAGAGCTCAGGATCAACCGTTGCATTTTAACACCATCCAGGTAGCCTTTGAAGATTAGAGACCCCTCCTCATGGCCCTTCACAAAACATAGCAGAAGTCTTCATCTCCTCGACATAACCATCCCTACAGACCACACAAATCATCAGGAATCCAGAAACCATTTTTAAACTAGAGAACAGCACTTCCCTTCTCTGCTAGCTGTGACAGGGAGTGTGATCTGATCCACAGGTGGCTGTGCAGCATCTGGTATAGAGGACAGGCAGACCAGAACTGCAGGCCTGGCTCTGCTACAGGGCAAGTTGCTTACACTTCAGCTCCCTGAGTGCTAAAAACGGGATCAGCCAGTACGTACCTGCTTCACTGGGTGGTTGTGAGGATTGATAATAAGCACTTGGCAAATGTTATCTATTAATATTATTATTAGTTACTAAGTGTTGGTTTCTTTCCAGCTACCCTAAGGAACACTTGGAAAAAGCCACCTATAGAGTCCCCATCCTAAGCTAAGCCACAATGCTTTTCCTTTGGGAAAACCACAAGATGGGTAAATATTCTCCTTTGGGTAAAATAAGAAACTAGCAAATATTTGTGTCTACTGGTTTTTGAAAATAAGAACATCCCTATTCTCTATATTTATTTCAAAATTCTATTTTATAATCTTTACATTACCAAATAAAGATTTTTTTTGCCCCCAAGATTTATATTATTTCAAAAATTAGTATTCTACCACTTAATAAGCCCACTACTTGTTCTTCTTGGGCAATCTAAGTAATTATGTGCATTAGTTTTTTAAATGTTCCCATGAAATGTATGGCACAGTTCCTAGTATTCCTGAACTTTATAGAAAGTTCAGAAGACCTCAGAATGCAGCGAGGTTAAGAGACTCACCCCCAAAGTAACTACTGGTCTAAATCCCACTATCTTTGACGGTATGACAGCAAAACACACCGGAAGGAGTTGGTGGCATGATAACATTCGTGGGTGAACTTCAGAGCACAACAGGGCCTCACTCTAACGTGCTCCTTGGGGACTAAGCCAGCAGACCGTCATACAACAGAATCAGTGCCTTAATGAGGCTTGAGCAGGTATCCTCTCAGTACCACTGCAGGGACTCCTGACATCTCAGGTGCAGGCTGGGCCAATTTAAACTCCCTCTAATTTCTCTGCTCACAATCATCATAGATGTCAATAACTAAAGACCTACCTGGTACCTACATCAGACTAAGGACCACCCATAAGCACTTCATTTGCAGAGAGGTTAGGAGAGTACCCATGATGAACTACCCAGCTCTACAGTCTACTAGTTTAAAATTCCAAGTAAACGTTAAGATTTCAGAGTTAACTGATATCATTTCCCTTGAGGTTAATTTAAACAAGTTAAGCCCCAGCTTCTCTATCTGCAAAGCTCTATGAGTACAGCATTTAAAAGAGGCCAACTACAACTTTCCAGCCTTGCCATTCACTTTATTCTGTTTTATTTTTTTTTGAGACAGAGTCTTCCTCTGTCGCCCACGCTAGAGTGCAGTGGCACAATCATAGCTCACTGTAGCTGCAAACTCCTGGGCTCAAGCGATCCTCCCACCTCAGCCTCCCAAGTAGCTAGGACTACGGGTGCATGCCACCATGCCTGGCTAATTTTTAAATTTTTTATAGGGACGGGGTTTTGCTGTGTTGCTCAGGCTGGTCTCAAACTCCCAGCCTCAAGCCATCTCCCAGCCTCAGCATCCCCAAGTGCCCACCATCCACTTTTAATTGCACAACAGGTGGAAGCCTCTTCAGGATTAGGCTATACTGAGATCACCGATTGATTAAATTCCTCTAAACCTATTTGCTTGTTTCTCCTACCCACCAAGCCAAAAAGATTTATCCATTGTCAATTTATTAGCATTTCAGACAAGTGCCAAACACCATCACATACTATTGGTGGAAGCCACCATTTTTGGCTCCAGATGGAGATTTCTGAATTCATGTCATGCTATTTATACAGCAGAGAAGAATCTACACTTTCATTAACTCCTGAGAATAATTAAATTTCATGGCTATCATAAAGTATGTGATAAGGACTCACAAAGTTTTTTAAGAGAAAGTTAAAAGGCAACTAAAGAATTTCGTTTTACTTCAAGTGCTTATTCTTATAAGCCATAATTTTCCACACAGAATCCAACTCTGGTGTGAGCGTATGTGTAAAACCAAAACAAATCAAAATATATGGCATATCCTGGCCATGGCCTCTAGCACAATCAAAAGAGCAGTTCTGAGCTTTTACTTTGTTTATTTCCTAAGTTGGAGAACCTCAGGGGGAAAAAAAAGAGAAGGCAGAATAAGGAAAAAAAGGTTTATGTTTAGTATTTGGGAGTCCAATGTACTAATTTAGCTATTTACAACGAGAAGATTAAATGATGGCTAAATTTTACTTCAATCATCTGTGCAATGAGGTCACAGATATAATCTCAGCCAGTTGCTACGCTCCCAAATTTGAACTCATTTAGTTTGCAGTTGGTTTGCATCTGATTTAGATGTAAAAAGTGACTATCTGCAAGACCACGAGACCATGAGCCAATAAACTATCCTGAGGGCCATATTTGGTCTGCCACTGGTCTTTGCACATAAAGTTTTATTGGAACACAATCATGCTCATTCATTTATCCACTGTCTATGGCTGCTTTCCACCTACAACAGCAGAAATGAGTAGTTTTGACAGAGACTGCACGGCCCACAAAGCTGAAGATATTTACTACCTTTATAGAAAACGTTTGCGGACCTTTGTTCAAGATGATCATAAAGGGCCACACACTACACATTGTTCAAGTGATTTTGATACAGTAGTATCCAAGCAAGTTACATCACTTCTAGTTGCTTACTGATCACCTTAATTACTCACAATGTAGACAAATTAATTGCACATATTCATTTCTTACTTTCTGATTCTAAGTATAAAACACTACACATCAGCCAGGCGCGGTGGCTCACGCCTGTAATCCTAGTACTCTGGGAGGCCAAGGCGGGAGGATCGTTTGAGCTCAGGAGTTCGAGACTAGCCTGCCCAAGAGTGAGACGCCCGTCTCTACTAAAAATAGAAAGAAATTAGCTGGACAACTAAAATATATAGAAAAAATTAGCTGGGCATGGTGGTGCATGCCTGTAGTCCCAGCTACTTGGGAGGCTGAGGCAGGAGGATCACTTGAGCCCAGGAGTTTGAGGTTGCTGTGAGCTACGCTGATGCCATGGCACTCTAGTCCAGGCAACAGAGTGAGACTCTGTCTCAAAAAAAAAAAAAAAACACTACACATCACTTTTCCAGAAAACTCTATATTCTCTCAAAATTTAAGATTTTTTAGACATTATATTATCTAGAAATACACTATAGCAGATCACAAAGAAATACCATTAATGAGCTATAAATATTCTTTAACCACAAATTTTGGATCTATTCACATCTTCATATGTGATGGCAATAAGCATTAATATGAATATTAATAAAGATACAATAAGGAATTCAAACACATATTTTTTCAACTTTAGGAATCATCTTACTACTTCATTTAAGATACAAGCATTAGTTGTAATAATTCCAATTCAGTTCTTTGAATTAGGAAAACTTTTACGAATTTCAATTTTAAGTATATAACAGTATCCCTTAAAATGAATGCTACCTAAAAATTACTGTATCTATTAATGACTTACTGTATACTTACATGAATACATATCTCATAATCAATATAAGAATGCCAAAAGTCCTCCTTCTGAATCCTGGGATCTCGAACCCAGACGCTCACAAATTCCTGTAACGGCATCATAAACAGAAATCTGCTTCAGAATCGCCAGCCAGACTAGAAAGAGCTCAGAGAAATGACTGCACCAGAACAAAACCGAAACACGGTTACAATCCTTTAAAAAACAAGAAGTAAAGTTCATGAATCAGGCACCACAGGCAGGTCCAGAAAACACTTTTGCCACAAATGGAATTTCTTAAATAATGCAATACTGAGCAGGACACACTTTTCAACAGTTTTACAGGTTATTTAAGGCAATAGAGTACACTCTGAAACTGATTTTTAATTTTTAATCACGAAAAATACATTCACCTCTCCTCAAATTTTAAAAGCAGTCATTTCTTACTTGCTTCATCTCTATAAATTAAAATTATGCGCCCTGCCTGGTAAATCACTTCCTAGAACACAAATAAGAAAGAGCGGCAAGGGTCCCGTGAAAGGTAAGCAAAGAGAGTTGAAATTAACTTTTGTGCATACAACCCAGCCTCATGAGAATAAGAGGTAACAACTTATTAATAGAAAGATGAACACCTTCTTTTACACAGTACTTTTCTATTTTAAAAATACATTTCCCATATATTAAATTACTTCATCTTTATAATATCTTCGTGTTATCGGTAAAAGTTAAGAGATGTAAAAAAAAAACATATACAGTAGATATGGTAATTTTGTCCCTTTGTAAAGATAATAAGAGGAGGAAATACAGGGTAAAATTTAAAACAACACATTTCAAAAAGTGCTCTTAACTAAATAGGTTTAGTTTAAAAATATGAAAATGTACAGCAAAGATATATTAGGTTTGGTATGATAAATTTTAAAGTATCTCTTATTCAGTGATCATAAATTTGCTAACTGAATTTCATTTGAAATATTTTAACTTTTTGTTATGATTGGGGCTTCCAGGCTGAAATTTAGGCCTCTCTTGCTGGCTTTTTCTGGGCACATCGGAGAGGCAGGCTGCAATGGCTCTAGAGCAGAAGAGTAAGGAAGATTATGCGGTTTCTGGACAAAGCACCTCCACTTTGTTATTCAGATAATGAGAATTTTCAGTACAGAGGACTTTTTAAAAATCAGAAAAATAGCCTACATTGCCCGAAAATAACTTTTGCTGCCTATCAAATTTTATCTTCTAGGACAACATACACTTTGTTCTTGCATTAAGACTTCTGACCCACTGCTTGTTCTCAGTAGATAGGTAATATGAGTTAATGTTCTAAAAAGTCTTATTTTAAAATCTTTTCATTATGTATTTTTAAAAAATCATTTAGGAGACACAGAAACAGAATAAAAACAAGATAACGATCTATCGATGCTCTAAACGTTTTGGCCATTATTTCTTAAAAGTACATTCTAAGAGGGACTATAAAAACAACTTTTAAAGCAAAGTATGTATAACATCCCCTAATTACATACAGTGGGATTGGGTCAGGAATAAAGTAGATCCCGCCCAGAGACAGAAACAGAAGCAAAATCCAGGCACTCTGCTCTTAGTCTTTGTTTTTCACCTCCATCTCCTGTCAGTATGTATGTTTGTGTGTGTGTGGGTGTGTGTGTGGGTGTGTTAAACTCATTCACTTGTAGTGCTTTTCACATATCTACACTTCTTAGAATGAATCAATCAATCATCAATGAATCAATAAACACAAAGACAAGTAAGTTTGGAATAGGAGAGACCACAAGTTCAGAGTGGACCGTGTGGCCCACCCTCACCCTCAACCCTAAACACACACACTCAGAGCTGCTCCTTGACTTGCGTGGGCCCCAGGCACTGTGGCCTCCATGGGTCCTTCCCTCCACAAAAAAATATTAAAAATCATACTTTAAAACTACACTGGTATAAAGATGAATATAGTAATAGTATATGTTAAAACCTTTCCTTTGACCTAAACGTTCACTTTACTCTTCTGATTTTAAAAGGAATTAAAACACTTTCATGGCCCCCAAAAGTCGTGTGGGCCCTGGACACCGTGTCTGATGAAGTCGGCCCTGCCTTCATTCTGAGCCGGTGGGATGCTGACAACCGCAGTCTAGGCCACCCTGGCCCCTTCCAGCCAGACTACGGTGATGGGTCCCAGTCACCAGATCACATGTAAGCCACGCTCCCTCAGAGGGTGTTGGCAGTTCCATTTTTCCATCCAAGAGGCAGAAGTTCTTGGATATATCAAAAAGGGAAATTAACTATTTCCAAGAGCTCTATATTCCACATTAACAGTAGAAGACATGCACCCATTATGGAAATAGTGGGCCTTCACACAGAGTAAACTAAAATGAAAAGGCAAGGAAACACATTTTTCAATTTGCTACAATTTGTGATTTCAAAAAAAAGGTTTCCGAATTAAAACTGTAAAATCCACAGTTACTACAAAGTCACATTCCCCCTGACCATTCAACATATTATTAATCAATGATGGTAGCAATAACAAATAGTTCTGGGGAAAAAATTAGGGTTTTTTCCCATCTGTTGGCTATTGTCCAGGTATTAACATAGAGACTTTGAGCAGCATGTCCCTTTTCATGGAAAGAACACTGACTTTATAGTCACAAGACTAGGGGTAAATTCTGGCTCACTCACTTCCTAAATATGAATTTATTTGCTGAGCCTCAGTTTCCACACCGGGAAAATGGGAATAATTCCTATCCAACCTATTTCAGCTGTCTGTTAGGTGGGTCAAATTATAAAATACTGGTGAAAGCAATGGGAAAATTTTCATTAAGTGCTATATGAGTATGAAGTATTATTACATAGAAAGAAAAATGTTTGCCAACCCAAAGCATTGGGGTCTTCCCACAGATGCTAAGCTCCTGTAGCGCACTTTAGACTGTCTTATATGACCTGAGTGCATGGCACATTAATTGGCATTAAATAATTAAGAAATTCTAAAATAAATTATTAATTCAAAAACCCAGTAGCAAACACTCTAACAATGTGGTTTTCAGTAAAAGGCAGAGTGACCTAATGATTTCATAGGCACTTCATAATATGTGTAAAAGGAACAGACATCATAATGACAAATTATGGTAAAGAATCTATTTTCCTCATCTCAATGGGTTGGAATTCTCAGACTCTGCCATTATTATTACTCCTTAAGTCTAATTATTATCTAGGAGAGACTATGTTGAATATAAATTCTAAAACCATGCTGGAAAGAAAATGTCTTCTAAGAACACAGCAATGCATTCTAAATGCATACTCAAAATCACTGCAGCATCAAGACTCCAAATATTTTTTTCAATCCTGAACATCTTTAATTTGATTGGAGGGCTAAATGTCACTATTCTTTTGTGGATGGCAAGCTTTTCTTCCTTCTCTGGTCCCTGAAACGTTGCTGTGCCCAAGAGCCATCCTAGGCTGCCATTCTTCATACCCTGTTGCAATTCTAGGGTGACCTCATCCAAACATATTCAACCAACCTACATGAGCTGATGATTTCCACAGCTCCATCCTAGTCCTGGCATTGCTCCCAGGTATCCAGCCTCTGGCCTGATCCACCGAGAAGTCCCATGAGCATCAGTACCCACAGCCTTCTCACCTCACCTTGCTCCCCTCTCAGAGAAGAACATCCTCCACCAACCCCAGCCAGAAATCCAGTACCCCCAGACTTCTGTTTCAATCCCCCCACCAGTACCATACTGACCAAGTCCTTCAGATTCACTCTCCTTGGAACCACCCACAACTCTATTCCCTCTGCTACTGCCTTGGTTGAAGGGCCTCTTGCCCAACATTAATGCAAGAGCTGCTAATGTAACTCTGAATCCATATCCAGTGCATCCCCTACACTAAGACAAAAATGGCTCTAAAATTTACAACTGATGATGTTGCTTCTCCACTGAAAATCCTTCAAAGGCTGCCCCATAACCTTCAAGATCAAGTTTAAACTCCTCAGGTAGCACAAAACAGCCTTTCATAATTTTCACTCTACTTATCTCCAAAGTCTCAGCTTAGGTCCGCAAGCACAACATGCCATTTCACACTTCCATGCCCTTGAACACACTGTTCTCTCTGCCTGGATTGCTAGCCCCACCCTCTTTCCTTTTTTTTTTTTTTTTTTTTTTTTTTTTTTTTTTTTTTTTTTTTTTTTATGTCCTCATTTCAATTCTTTTTTCGAATGAAATTCAGTCACCACTCCTTCTGGAAATCCTTCTCTGACTCACCCGGTCTGATTTCTTTGACCCTCCTCTGAGCCCTAACGCCTCTGGGCACACCTGGGGCATAGTCCCTACTCACCACACCTTAAGTGTACCATACCATAATTATCTGTAGGCTTCCTGTACCAGACACTAAGCTCCTGTAGGGCAGCTTAGGCTGTCTTGTAAGACTTGAGTGCCTCAAACATCCGATACATTTCATTAATATAGTATCATTTAATGCATAAATGAATGCCTACAGGAATAAACAAATTGCCTTCAGAAAAAAAAAAAATGAGATCAAACTTCAGCTGAAATAAATAAAAACCTCATCCACTTGGGTTCTTGGGCTCCATGAATTAATGATAAGTTACTTAGCAGCTAGTCTAAAGTTTATCTTAATTTAACAAACTCCTTCCTCTAAGGGTGTGCCAATTAACAGCATAAGGATACAAGAGCAATGTTTAAGATCTATGAGAACAAACTGTTTTCTAGCACACTAAAGAACTCCAGAAGCACCTATTTACATAGAAATAATTGAAAATCATTCTGATAGCTTCAATAACTCAGTCCCCTAAGACTTGTACCAGGCAACAATTTGTTAGCCTAGTTGGAGTTAAAATATGTACTTGAAAGTAATAAAAGTACATTTATTTTAAAATATTCTATAATTCAGATGGCTCTCCCTCCCCTGCCCTGCAATTAGTAGGAATTAGTGAAGTTTCACCATACTCCCAGCAACGAACAGCACACCCAGGAAGCCAAGGTTCACCTATAGTCTCTTAATTAGACGCATCCCTCACGACACTGCCCACCATCCTTCAAGGGAATGTTGACAGCCTGTCAGCCACAGAGGACAGCTCCAGAGCCCCTTACCTAGAATC